TACACAGAGCTAACAATTTTTTAGATCAATTGACTCATAATATAGACAGTTGTCCACTCAAAATACTTAAAAACTAAAACAAAATTTATTGTCCTCCCCCCCCCAACTCAATAACTGAGGCAAAAGTGGAGATATTTTATTTAATAGCAAAAAGGAAAAAATATGCAAATATAATGCTTTAATGTTTCAAAGCAATTGGTGTTATTCTTAATATTCAAAATTATTTGTGAATTTCAGAGATACAGCCCAAAGGATAAAAGCAATCATTTATTTTTGTTACACACAAAATACCTTGGAAGAATTTTTTTACAAAACATTTAATAGAGAGACAAGAAAATTGGCAACTTTAAAAATTATATAAAAGATAAAAGCACTGATACTCTGAGAATATAAAATAGATGTGTAATATGTGGGTGGATATATATTATGTTTATAACTTCATATCAGTAAGCTTAATTGGGTGCTCAAGTTTTTTAGCATATTTTGTTAAATATGACAAATAAGAAACATCTTTTGAAATGCTTTTGTCTTTTAATAAAACACTCACAAGATATACCTTGTGTCATATTTAATAAAACATTGCTGACCATAAATACAGGAGTCAACACTGAAGACAGCACTATGTGGCAGCATTCTTTTTCAACCTTGAACACAATCTTCAGGCCATATACAGGGTGTATCAAATATACTTTTACAAACTTTGTAGGTGGGTTCCAACACTAAAACAAGGAATATATCAGATAGTGTGAATTTAAGCATGAAACAAACTGTTCCACTGGATGTTTGCCACAATGAATGATGAAATATGACATTAAATCAAAGATTTTGCAGGGAGAAAAATTCTCTAAGAAAATACTAAAGAAAAAAACACATTAAATTAACAAAAGTAGAAAGATTAGTATTTTAAAAGAAATATTACATTAAATTTTAATACATATAAAATATAAAAAGTAACTACCAATTTATGAAAAAGAAGCATGAGCTTTCTTTAAAATATATTTCTTTTTTATTTCCTAAACAGAGAGAATTAACATGAAAAGTGTTAAGTTCTATTACATAAATACTGAAATGCAAATGTATTAATGGAATACTTTATGTATCACCTGTTGGTTTTGAGAGACCTTGGATCTACCCCCAAAGAATTATGCCTCAGTTGCTGGTTTCACAGCATCTGTTACAGCTGTACATGCCCGCAAAGGAGTGACAGACTCAAATGCATGTGACAACGCTCCCCCTGATGTCATCATGTTGTTTTCTTTCCTTTGAACACACTTCTACCTGGCGTAAAGCCTCCGTTTCTTCTCTCCTTGCTCCAGCCCTTGTTGTAAATCACATCTCCAGTGTAAGCAATTGTCTATGTCCATCGATCTGATGTCTCTTTTGCAGACATCTTTGAAGCGAAGATGAGGTCACTCTCTTGCCGGTGACTTGTTCCCCACATAGGACTTTTAGAATCCTCCCATTAGTAGACTGTTGCTAAACATGTTTTGCTGTTGCACTGAAGTGACACTGGAGTGACTTCTCCAAAGCACAAGCCTTGGCAGGGTTTTATGAGAAATTGGTGGTAGCTCCTGTAGCGCATCCAAGAGAAAGGCAGAGGCCAATACAGCTTGGCACCAGAGTCACTGCAGGAGTTGCCAGAACAAAGTTGAACGTAACATCGGACTGTCTTAGGGACTCCAGCTCCAAATTTGTCCTCAGGGTTCACTCCTGAAGACTTTCCTATGATTGGGTATGGCCACAAGGCAGTGCAGGTTTAAAATCAGAATTTTTCTTCTCTTAATAGATTATTACTTAATCAAGTATTAATTACACTAAACCCCAACTTTCCTACTCTCAGATCCAAACTGTCAGTACTTCAGAAGTTCCCAAGAATAAAACAGATTAAAAAGAAATTGCAAAACAAAAACAAGGAATATCTTAAAGAAAGGAATACAGATTCTTTCACGAGTTTTCTTCTAGATTTTTAGCTTGTTCCTCTCTTAATCAATCCAGGAGACAGTGAAAGTGTTTGTACATTTAATAGCCAATAATATCAATATGCAAACGAAACAGCAAAACTATCCTTAGTTTTCACTGCATCTGTCTTAAATTCAATTAAAAATCACTATGCAGATTTGGGGGAAATACTTCTTACACTCTTTCTTGCTTTCTCTAGGGGACATGGACATAAATATAAACCATACAAAAAGTATAAAATGAACACACAAAAATATTACAGGGAATAAACACAAACAAACCAAGAAATATTGACATAATAAGACCAAAATAAAAACAAGCCAAAAAAGAAAACAAAAACGCAGAACAAAATGAATAAATTAAAGCAATAAAAAAAATTATGCAGGCATTTCTCTTTCTTTTTCCCAATACTAAACCAAAAATATTAAGCAATAAAATGTCAACATTTTCCTTGCTTCCTTTTCAATTTCCTATAGACTTTCAAAGCATTATTTATAAAAAAAATAATGAGGTTCTTAAAGGATACACTTTACATTTGATTTAAACTAGAAGATGAAATAAATATATCCTACTGAAAGAGAAAAAAAAAAAGGAAAACATTTTATCTCCAACGTTCTACAAAAGTGGCGGCTGATTTAAAAGAATATATTACCACTTAGATAAGAATTAATTCTTGATTATTTAATGACAATTTTGACAGGAAAATCCATTTCAAATTTACATTTTTTCCTTTCTTCACTTGTGACCTCCTTTTTATCTTTCAAGGATCTTTTAGTGACAATTTATTTACAGATAAATGTTTCTGCTTTTAAAAATCGTGCAAATTTATTTACATAGAAATCCAATTATTTTCTAAAACATGCTATGGATAAAAATTCAAGACCCAAAAAAACTTTTTAAATGTAAGAATAAATTTTTCAAGCAACAAAATTATATAAAAAAAATAAACTAAAGGCAATAAAGCCTTTATTGAATGAGAACATTACTGTCTTTATCTGTAAGAAATTACCATAAACATTATTCTGGTTGAATAAATTAAGCCGTCAGATGTGAAAGAAAAACCAAGTATGTTAAATCATCAATAGGAAATATAAAGTGGTCTTTAAAAGCAAAAACAAAAAACATTACCTTACAAACTGGCAATTTTCAAAACATTAAGACCATATTCTACAGAGCAAAGTTCAGAGCCAAAAGCAATTCTTTGAAGCGAACAGCCTTTTATACACTTTCTACAATAAATCTAAATTCAGTTTTTACTTCATTCTGATAGAATTTCACAGGCTTGCTGAATAAATACAATGGTAGTAATTTTAATTCTCAAATCTTCATCTCAAATCAAATATCAGGCAAAAAGTTGAGAAGCAAAATCGCTACCATTTTATATACTGAGAAGGTATCTGAAACTATCAGAATGACGTAAAATCTATGAGTAGTTAAAAAGCCAGTGATTAAAAAAAAAAATACATCCCTTATAATCATCCCATTCTATTTTGGATGTAACCAGGTTGCATGAACACCTTTAATTGTTACTGTAATGAGACAACCACTGTTGATGAAATAGAGCTTTTATTCAAACTGTACATAGAACAGAAAGAAATAGATTGCTTCAGTCTGTGCTGTAAGAATGAATTGAGAAATTACCATACATACTGGTATATCACTACACAAGCATTTAACATTTAGTATAGTATAACTTCTCCTTCCACTGTATATGGCACCCATTCACCCCCAACTTCAGTTGTATAGTTCTTGATCTCAGTCAAGATTATTGTAGCTGTTGCCATAGCAGGATATGGCAACATTACTGTGAAATTCAAACACACTATCATAATCAAAACTACCTTAAATGTTCACTCAGTAAATGACATCATTAACAAGTGCTAAAGTTTAAATAGTTTTCTCAATTTCGACACCCTGCAGAAGGACCACATGTGTTTGAAGGATATGACTACACAACCAAGAAATTCAAATTCAACTTGCATTGGCAGGACTAACATTTTGCTCGGCGAAAATAGTCACCTAGAGTGCTAAAGGTTAACTGTGAACTGATCTGCCTTCTTGGGAGATGACAGCAGAGTGGTTTCCTGTTGTTTTCTCCAGACTAATAAAATTTCTTTTTGGAATTGTACTGGAATAAGCATAAACCAACACAAGCTACATTCTAAAAGCAACAATAAAAATGAACTTTTAACTGAGCTGAAGAATTTCCTTACAATTATCCAAGACAAGAAAATGAGACACCAACAAAAAAAAGTTGAGGATAAACTACAAGACATCTCAAATTTGAGCAGCATCGGTAAAACTTAAAATTTGGTGTTCTGATCACTAGAAATCTTCTTGTATTAGGGGCAGCTGAAAAGTCCATAGGCTGACCAAGATATAAATTTAAATAGAGACACCAGAATACAACAGCTGGTTGGACAGCTGTTGTATTCCAGTACACTTGCATGTCCTTTAGTCTAACAGTTGGTGTGTCTACTTATATTTATATCTTTGTCAGCCTATGAACTTTTCAGTCAAACCTTGTAAGATATACTCGGATCTCTATTTTAGCAAAGTAATAAAAATAAATAAAATAAATCCCATCTTTGATCGTTTTAGTCTAATGGTGCATTAAAAAATTTTATACATTATAGTGGATTATTAAAATTTACAAATTACTCCCATCCCCAAAACATTTTAAAAAATGACAAAAATTACAAGAATGGAAAGAGAGAAAAAAACAAATAAAAAAAATAAAAAAAGAATAAAAACTGCTTAAAAAAAATAAAAGAGAAAAGAAAGAAGAGAAGACAAAAAATACATTAAAAATAGGGAAAGCAATAATAACAACAAAAATAAGCACAATTATAGAGAGAGACAGCAAGAGTAAGAGTATAAAAAGAAAATGAATGAAAATAAATAGAATAATGAAAATAAGTATAATATGCTGTTGTAATGATAAAAGGAAAAAGTTAACGGGAAAGAATCAAGAGAAAATATTAATAATAAAATCTCTGAAAATCAGAAAAAATTGCAAGAGAAACAATTCCTAAAAGTACCTGCTTCACTGTCACCCGAGCCTCCATCAATTGGAGCTGCATCAAAAGCTGTCCCTCGAACTGTTATCACTTTGACAGGGTCAGTGGATTGCACAGTTTGGATAGCATTGCCTACAAGAAGAAAAACATATAAGAATAACAAGTGACTAATTTAAAGTACTACTGTTTAAATTTTATGGGCTGAAGATGTGAGCAACAACAAAGTTTTAGAGAAAATGGAAATAAACAGGAAACTTCTAGGGCACATCATGAGAAAAGAGGGCTTGGAAAATCTGATACTCACAGGACAGATGGAAGGCAAGAGGGACAGAAGACAACAACACATAACATACTTAGTGAGCTTAAATAAATGAATGGCAGAACAAGGTTTAGGAGAAATAACATAAAAAAACAAAATTTATTAAGAGCTATGAAAAACATGAAATTGTGGAGAGCAATGATTGCCTATGTCCTGAAGGGATATGGTGCACAGAAGAAGAAGAAGAATAATACAATAGATTTCAATAACAGAAAACAGTAAGGGACATCTGGAAAGTTTTTTTCTTTTTATCTGATCTTTTTACCATTCTTTCTTTTAAATATCATCTTTATACTTCATCTTCTATACATAGTTCGAACTATTTTTGCAAAAGAATGGAATATTTTATATTATTTAATAGTTGAAGGGTGACTAAAATCTTTAATATTAAAGAACCCGTTAAAATTCTATTAAGATTTATTAGAAGCTAGTGACTGTGTAGGGCTAATTGAGCCTCCAGCCTAAAACTAAAGGGACCTCTGGCTCAGCTTAGAAAACAGCAATGATAATTTTGAAGAAATAACTTTCCAATTTTTCAATTCACTCCATGGACCTTCAAAAACTCTTTAAATCTAATCCATGCTATAAATCCAATTCCAGCCAAAAGACTGACTTAGGCTGAAAGTTTGAGTTGGGCTGAAATTCCAATTTAGGCCAAAAGTTGAGTTCTTCAAATCACAAGCTCTGTGGAACTCTAAAACCTTGTGTCACAAAACCTCTCACTTTAACTCTGATTCTTTGGCATTTTGAAGAAATAAAACAGATTTCTTCAATTCACAAAATTTTGGAGATGTTTTAAACTAAATTTAAAACAAAAAATTTTAAAGTCACAAAATTTTTGAGTTACTTTAAACTCAATATAAATTAAAAACTTTTAAAATCACTAATTTTGTTCAGTTATTTTAAAATTTGAATTTTTAACTGCTCCCTACTCATTTGGACACAAATCCAAATGCTGGATGATCAAGCACCAGATGAAGGGCAGATTATCAATCCCAGGATCATCCTAATTCCAAAAAGGTATGTCTCTACTGAGAAAGTGTGGCCCAAGTTGGAGCAGTTTCAGACACATGGACAGACAGACAGAATTTACCAGGTTTTTATTAGATAGAAAGAAATATTATGCTAGAGTTTGTACAGGGTGTTTCACAATTGTTGAAACATAACAGCAACCTCACAGATGTACACCATTGATGTTATTCTCTTTCTCTTTTCAGATTATTGCTGGGTTAAAATTTGATATATTCAACCAAATATAGGAAAATCATGCCTTGAGCAATGGAGCAGATCTTTTGTTGGAAACTAAGTCTTTTAAGATTGTTCAAGCAAGATACAGAAAGAAGTTAAATTTCAAAACATTTCCAAACAGGAGTCAGATTTTGAAGCTCATGGCATGCATGAAGATCGTAGGGCAATAGGTTCCTTACCATCTGAGCCTCTGATAACAGTCTGAACACCGAAGAATACCACCAGGGTTCAAGAGTCAGTCAGAGTCTATCAAGATCTTTGCAACAGAGGAGCCAAGAACTTAGAATCTCTGTATCTTCTGTTCGGTGCATTCTTATTAAGAATCTCAAGACTTTATGTCTACCAGATCTACCATCAACAAGAACTGGGTGTTTTGGGTAAACGAGAACCCTCACAGTCATTTGACACCCTCTGCATTCAAAAAAAGTGCATGGCATGGGTTGGCAACTTGAAGCATGGCACTATTGAACCATTTTTCTTTGAAGATGATCAGGGTAACACAGTGACTAAAGAGTGTTACATTCCAGTGCTTGAGCAAGAACACTGGTTCCATCAAGATGGTGCTCCTCCTCACATTGCTAATTTTACCATGGCATGGCTCTGTGAAAAGTTTGAAGAGCATCTCATCAACCACAAAGCTGAAGTGGAATGTGGAATAGGCCCTTCATTCATCTGACCTGACCCTGCCCACCGGATTTCTTTCTTTGGGGGTTCCTCAAGGACAATATCTACCATGGCAATCTTCACACAATTGCTGCATAGAAGAAGATTCAAGTGATCACCCAGGAAGAATGTGCATGCATTTTTAAGTGGCTTCAACTGAACAGCAGACATCTGTAGTATATACTCCAGGGCTCCTCTTGACATTTTTGGTTCATGTTTGAGATTAAATGGTTGCAGATCCTAAAATTTTATCCTTTTAACTTTTAATAAATATAATTTCCATTACTCTTTAATTTATGATCCAAAAATTGTGAAACACACTGTACACGCAAGAGAGCTAATCAGATCTAATAAGCATCACAGCAAGTCAAAGCATTTCTGACAAAATAGCATCTAACTTGAACATTTCATTCACTAAGTTATGTATTTATTTAAGTGGTTGCATCTACACTGGATTTTAGGCTTTATTAAGCTTAGATACATACCAAGATTTGTTTACTGTATTTAATACTAAATTTTTAATTTAGTTCATTACGAAACTATATTCCTAAATAATGCTTAATATATACAACTACTGGTAAAGATTCAGTTAAACTAAAATATGTATTTTTGTAAGAAAATATATTTTCTCATGTATTTTTATGTGCTCAGAATGATTAATTTGTTAATTTCTTTGGTAAATTAACACTTTAAAGTTTTTTTTGTTTTTTTTAAATTTTAGTTCAATTTGCAATGTAAGCTTAATGCTAAATTGGACTCTTATGAAAATCTTTTATGCATCATGTCCCTTCAGGAAGTGAATGATCATGGCTTTCCATAACTTTCTATCCTTCATAGCTCTAAACAATGTTCCCTTCCAGACACTGTTCTTCCATCCATTTAGACAAGCCCATAAGGTAAATTGCTCAATGTTTCCCCCTTTCTTCTCATGCCTTCATTATAGCCTGTATTTTAAAGTATGAAGGGCTAAAAAGATTTTTAAAAAAGTTAAAGATCATTTTTTTTTCTCTACTAAGAATTAAATCCATGGCATTACAAAGACCTTAATGGCAACCTAACCTCAAGTTATTAATTCAATAAAATAATTTCTTTTTCTTTTTAGATTTCTGTATTTTAAAATTACCTGCATACTTGCATGAAGGTGAGTAGAAAATTAGTTGCCAGTTGAGAATTATATTTGGAATATAAATTGAATATTTGACAGGTGCAAAAAGTCAGGGTCTATTTTGGCATTATAAATAAATTGTAAGTTGAACCCCAATTTTAGAGCTACTTTTCATAGGGTTGATCAAAATAAGAAAAATATTTTTGTAAAAAGAAAAAGGTGAGCTAACTTTTTTTTTTGGTTCCAACTGGCATGGGAATGAATACAAAGTCATACCCCTCCCCAAATTTATAGACAAAACATACAGACGCACGCTGGGATTTCTCCCTATCCAATAAGATAGACCACTTCTCAGTCTCATCTGATTTAGTTCTCTTCTTTCTTGTCTTAAAGTCAGAGCGCTGCGATCTCTTGTCTATATCCTTTTTTGTATGTTGATACCATTCTTAGATTGTGAACTTTTTCTTTATTACTGTTGCTTTGCCTTGCATATATTGTTTGCTCAAAATTATTGTTGTCCTGTTCTTTTGTTTGTTTCTTTTGTCCTAGTTTATTGCAAACTTTGTCAATTCTCTTTGTTGGACATTTCTGCTAATTACATTTAATCATGGCTAATTTCTCTACTGTTTATTTTGTTTATCTTTTGATCCTTTACCATCCCTTTTTGTCAGTTTTACCATCCATTCACATAAACTTGTTATGTAGGCTACTTGTTCTTCCCCTTGCTTCTCTTGACTTCATTATATCCTGTGAGTATCATATTTTCTCAACCCACTTTCCTTATTATGCGTGACAGAAATTTAAACTGTCCTTTTTTGTGATTCTGAATGTCCTTTTAGTTCTCATTTTGCATAAGACTTCCTCATTGCTCACATGTTCAGTCCATGCTATTTACAGCATCCATTGATAGAAACACATCTATTGATTCAAGTCTCTTTTTCATCTATGAAAAGATTGCCCAGCATTCACTATCATATGGGAAATTAGATATAACATAGCTATTCAGCACTTTTTTCTTTGTTTCAAAAAAAAAAATTTTGTATGTTTTAATACTTTGCTTAGTTTCTGGAAGGCATCTTTTACCATTCCCATTCACCTTTGGATTTCTGTGTCATATTTTCTCTTGTCATGGTTATAATACCCAGATAGTTAAATTTTTGTACCTGCTGCTACTAATCCTATATCTCCTGAACAGCAATTTTTTTTTTTTTTTTACATACAAAAATACTTAATACAGACATGATGATAATATATTAGTTTAAATTTCTATTCTATCAAAATTAACATGAAATAATATTCCCTATAACTAAAGTAAAAAATTATTCATTTTCTACAAGTTACATTCTTTGTAACTAAAGTAAAATTTATTCTGAAGTGTGCTCAGCCTAATTTCTACCTGATTAAATTACCATACATCAGAATTTGAGTGGGGGAGAGCTTTTGGTCAGGTGGAGACGTTTTCAGCACCTCCTCCTTGTATAACAGTAACATCTTTATATCACTAATTTCTTCCTTATTCAAAAAGATTTTTAATAAACATAAAAATGAGAAGTTTATTTTTCTTATGTATACCACACCAAACAAAGAATTTTTCAGTAATATATATATATATATATATATATATATATATATATATATATATATATATATATATATATATATAATTTTTTTAGGTTTTTATCCAAAAAAACACTAAAAAGTCATTGTTAATGTGTAAATCTATTTTAAACTAAAAGATTTTTGCATATACATTTAATCATTTATTTTTTAATTTAACTTTGAAAGAATCTTCATTGTTACCTAATATTAAGCGAGATAAAGCCTACAGTTTCCATGCTATAGTGAAATTCAAAAACTCCAAGATTCAAATGAATACAAGGATAAAAACAACAAATATATCACTTTGTCTAGTTGTTAAGTCTATTAAACACATAAGAAATGATACTGCATCAAAAGTTAGCAGTATACTGAAGATGAATGTAAGCCATGGTGTTGATTTTGATACTTAAAAATCATTTCAAGACATAAAAAATGACTGAAGAAGTAAAGAGTATAAAAATAATATGTAAACAACAAAATTAAAACTAACCAGCATAAATAGTTCGGACAAAAGTATCTTCTGACTTAATTCCAATGATATCAGATACAGGAGACACATCAAGTTTTGCTGCAACACGAGGTAACAAATTCTGAAAAAAAATTGCCATAGATAAATTGATATTGATTAATAAATAAATAAATAAAAAAGGAGGTACTTGTCAATAAAAGAAAGGGATTTGGCTTTATAAAGAATTCAAACATTGAGTATTAGCAAGAAAATAAACTTTATAAAGAAACCATTCCAAAGAAAATATCAAAGTAACAGAACATGTTTGCCAAATTTTGAAACAAAAATTCATTTAATTGCTAACCTACTAATTTATTATGTAGCAATTGTATAACTTTGTAAAACAGACTCCATTGTTAATCCTTGTCTGAATATGACAATCTTAACTTCTTCATGTCAAGAGTTTGTTGTTATTTATCCTCCTTATCCTCATAATCTTCACTCTCTCTCACATTCATATCACACACCTCATTCATTACCACTTTACCTTGCGTGTCACTCCAGCCTTGTATTTGGTAAATAAATATATACATATATTATGTTAATGACCTTCTTGTCTTGTTTATCATTAGGATATATCTGGTTACAATAATAAATGATAAATTAAAATATTTGTTTATATATATATATATATATATATATATATATATTAAAAAGAAGAGAAGAGAGGTGCCTCAAACGTTTTTGGTTGTAATGTGGATTTATTTAGAAAAAATATTATGCTTTGTTTTACATAATTTTACAACACGTGTTTCTGGTCTCGCGACCGTCTTCAGGTAAAAGTGAAGATTTCCACATATTATTAAAAATAATTAATTTTTCCTTATGTTCAATGTTAAATATTCTCGATATGAGACATTTTCTGTTTGTGTGTTGGTAATCTGAATTTCTTTCTTGAATTGGCAATGAAGAGTTCTGCACGAAGGGTCATAAAACAATTAAGGTTGGTCCAGCGAGATGATAAATTAGTTATCGGCATTTTATCTTTTAATGTTTTACTGACCCCTATGTGCTCTTGGATCTGTTTCCATTTTGGTGCGTTTCTGTCAGCATGCGTGTATATATGTGTGCGTATATTTCCCCTCCATACATATACTGTCTTACTACGAGGAATTCGTAAACTTATTTGTACCTATACATGCATACACACACATACATACGCACATACACACTATCCCAACACAAGTAATCAGTACACACACAAATATACACACATATTTCCCAAGCTAGATGGAACCAGTGCACACACGTACTTCTTAAGTTGTCAACATCCACATATACATACATAAATGTATGTATACATACATATATATATATCTCCTCGTGTCTCCCATTCAGTTGTTTTGATATTCTTGCTAAGTAAATCTAGATTTTTTGTGATTTCTGGGAATATTTCTGGATTGTTTTTCTGTTGTCTGTCATTTTATATTGAGACCCTATTGTTGGCTGATGCCTATATATGACTTTGTTTTAAGTACGTTACATTTCTTTTTTTTATTTCTAATGTTGGTTTAAAGGAATTTCTTCTATAATGATGTTCAATACCTTTTTTTGTTTATTAGTGTTGTGGGGTTCTAGATTGTCGTTTCTTGAGAGTTTTATGTTTATTCTTCTAAGCTAGATTTTTTGTGATTTCTAGAATATTTCTGGATTGTTTTGTTGACATTGATGTTTATCAGTCACTTTCTTTTTTATTTCTAAGTTTCTTTTTTTTCTAAGTTGGTCTATTCTACCTTTGCTTTATTAATAGGGGGATGGATTTTTTTAGGCACTATTGCTTTTTGGGTGGATGGCTCTTGAAATGAAGAAGGTATTGTTGGGTGTCTGTGGGTTTGTGGTAGATATCTGTGATTATGTGGTTGTTTTATTTCTAATGAGTATATCTAAAAATAAAATTATATTCTTGCATGAATTTGATTTTTGGGTGTAAGTTTTGAAGTAGTGTATGGAATTGGTTAATATCACCCCAAGATGATTTCAAAAGATGAAGCAATCATCTAGGTATCTTTTCAAGATTTAGTGAATTGGGTCTTTATATTTGCCCCATATATTTGTTCTATCTTTTCATAGAGGTTTTCTTCTAGGTAAGCTAATGTTAGGGTGGCATATGTTGGTGCCATTTTTGTTCCCATCGCAGTACCTAGGGTTTGGATATAGTTTTTGTTGTCAAATTCAAAGGTGTTATTGTTTAGAATTAGGTCTATACTATCGATAATGAACTCTTTAGTGAATTTCAGATGTAGTATTTCTGGATGTTTTTCAATCCAGAATGAGATCGCTTTTTCCTAGTTCATGGGGTATGTTACTGTATAGGCTACTGATGTCAAAAGTTGCCATAAAAGCGTTCCCGGATCTACCTTTTGTGGTATGCAGCTAAGGAAATGGATATCGTCTCTGATGTGGCTTTTAATTTGTTTAGTATATGGTTTGCAATATTATGTCTATTAGGTTACTGAGTTTGCTAGTGGGACAGACTGGTCCTGCTACTATTGGTCTGAATGTAAGGTCACTGGGGTTTGGGATGCTAATGTATTCAGATTTTTTGTGTATGTATAGCTGCTTTTATTTCACTCGATTTATGAACTTTAGGTAGTCCGTAGAAATTACTTGTTTTTTTGTACAAAGTTTATTAGGAAATCCTTCTCTTTTTTTTGTTAATATTTTATTATGTGTTGTGCAGAGTTTTGTAATTTTTGTTATAATGTTTTTTGTCTATGTTAGTGTCAATTAATTTGTAGCTGTTCCTATCCTCTAGTGTTTCTAGAATTTTTGTTTTATAGTATGTTCTGTCCATGATTACTATAAGCGCTGCCTTTATCTGCTTCTTTTATAATTATGTTATTATTTTTTGAATGTTCTCTAAGGCTAGTCTTTGTCTATATGTGAGATTGTCGAATGGTTTGGATTTTTCCTGTAGGTTGAGGTTCAGAGTTTTTCAAAAAATATACTTAGCTCATTGGTATTGTTATTTTTTTGTTTGGGAATAAATTGGATTTGTTTTTTTTACTAGTGACTCATCTGTACTATTTTCAGCTATTGTTAAATATTTCTCTTAGTCTCAATTTGCGTTCAAATTCCTTAATGTCTTTTTTTAAGTCTACTATATTGCTTTTAGGAGCAGGGCAGAATTTTAGGCCCAATTTCAGTAGGTTGATTTCGTCATTTGTAAGTGTATATGTAGATAGGTTTATTATTTTGGGATTTGTGTCATCTAAACTGGTTTTCTTGTTCGAACTGGGGCTTCTAAAAAATAATGATTGTTTTTTTTAATATATCTTGGGTTTTCTAAGAGATACCTTCTTCCTGTACATTTTGAGTTTTCTAGCCAGTGAGAGTTTCCCTTGGTAAAATTGGGGTTGTTATTTCTCAATGGCTCTATATAGGTGTGTTTGCTTTTGTTAGGGGGCCTGTTCCAGATGTTCCTAGGTTTGTTGTTTTTGTATGGATTGTATGTGGATTGTGTGTAGAACTTTTTGTGAAATTCTGGTTGTACTCCTGGATATAGGTAATGGTTGTCAGGTTTGGTTTGTTGTGCTAGGTGGTATTTGTAAGAGTTGGTTGTGTGAATGTGTGTGTGTTCTGATCTTTGACTGTGTTATGGTGTGGTGGTCTGTACAGGTTTATTTTTGCGCTGTTCAGTGTATGTTCATAATTGAATTTTTTATGTGGGTGTGAATGCGTGTGATGATCTGAAGACGGTCGCAAGACCAGAAACACGTGTTGTAAAATTATGTAAAACAAAGCATAATATTTTTTCTAAATAAATCCACATTACAACCAAAAACATTTGCGGCACCTCTCTTCTCTTCTTTTTAATATACATACTTTTCTCTCGTTGGAACCACTACAACATATTTCTTTTATATATATATATATATATATAAATACACTTCAGTGGAATTCTGCTAAATATCTTATCATCTATAAACACACATCAAACACACTGTAATATATTACCAACTTTTATAAAAACCATACTTAAAGAATCTAAAATATGTCTATCTACTACCACCACCACTATAACTGGTGTTGCATTAAAATGTCTCCAAATCAACATGCAGGCAACCACCATACAGAAAATAATCCTACTAGACACACACAAGTGACTATACTTTATTACACACACGCGCAGATACACACGCAGGCACACACAAGTGACTATACTTTATCATCCAATTCCTGGATAGACAAACTAGAATCATAATATGCTTACATAAATTTACATACAAACACTGCTTGACAAGACAAAATGCACATTAAGTCTGCTTAAACAATAAAAAAACTAACAAAACAAAGAGAAAAATTAGTTGGTATTTTTTCTCTTTTTTCTTCTCTATATCTCAATTCTCTGATGAAGCTTTAATAAATGTGAAAAATGTTAGATTTATGAACATTTCCTATTTGTTCCTTATCCTGTTATTTATATATATATATATATAGTGGCTGTCGACTCACAAAGTGAGTATGACCATCACTGACATGTCCAGTCCATCCATTAAACTCCCCGCTACAACACTGTATTCATTGGTTGGGTGAATGACAGTGGCTCATAAAGCCAGCCATCGATCTGCATTTCTTGTTACATATGTGGTATATCAGATCATCTCTGTGTGGTGGAAGTTGACTTTGAACATCATCACTTCCAACAAGTCTTTTTATATGCCTTATATATATATATATATATATATATATATATATATATACACACATACACTAACATTTTATAAAGTATTTTCCAATTAACACTTTAAGCATTCCTCAAATGTAGCAGATTAACAGCTGAAAATTTAGAAATTTTGAGGTTCAATCCCAATTGCAATATAGATGAAGCTTATATCGCACTTGCCAAAGAGAACAGAAATGATCATCTTTTTAATATTTCATAAAATCAATAATGAGAAAAAGATTCAAGAAATATAATAGAAATTTATCATGGAACAAAAGAACTGGAGACTACAAAGAAATTTCTATTTGCATTATTTATATTCAGACTATTTTCCTCATCATTGTTATTTTTATCAACATTTTGGCTGTTGTGCCCTCCGGCCATCATCAGGTGTGTATCAATCCTGGTAACCTACAGGGAATTTCAAACTGGTCCTTTTATTCTCATTCCACTGCCCATGTTTATCGCTAGATAGGTTACCCAGACTGATGAAGGCCAGAGGGCACAATGATCAAAACACAGTGATAACATCAACAAAGATGAGGACAATAGTCTGAATGTAAATAATGGTAACTTCTCATCTCAAAAATTCAGGCAGAAAACAAGTTTCTGTTTAAGATAGTTTGTCTAGTCCAAAAGACCTACGTAACATTAGATATAAACTACTCCATAGACAAATAAAGTTATCTTTAATCAAAGAACTTTTCAGAAGCTTCAATTAAACAAAAGAAGGTTAAGAAAACTCTTTCTAATGGGCTTATAGAAAATGATTTGAAAACAGAAGCTTGATGGCACTGAGAAAGCAATGAAGACAATAAAGTCCTAAAGGATTAATATATAATCTATGATTATTCTGTATTCTTAGATGCTTTCTTTAGCCAAGAATGTATTTTGGCCAGTAATCTGATTATGGATTATTTGTGTAGAAATTCCATCTTGTAAATTTTACCTTGCTGTTTTCCATGTTTGCATTTTAAAATTAAAAAAAAAAAAGTTTAAAAAAAAATTGCAGAAAATTGTTTCTAAATAAATCCAAACATGTGTTTTGGACAAAATTCTTCCATATTCACAAACTAGCAAAGATATTTCATTTTTAAATTTTTGTTACTTTTTACTTCTCTTCATTTTTTTTTAAATGCCTTCAAAGAGAATCTGCTCTGAAAGTTTTACATATTATAATTGAAATTACATTTAAACTTAAACAGCATGAGGTCATTTTCTTAAAAAAAATATGCAAATACCATTATGTTAATTAACAAGTGTGGCCAAAACCAATTATACATAATCTTCTTTTACTGTAAACAAAGGCATCTGTAAAAACCAAGTAATGCATTAATAAATCAGTTCAATCAATTTAAAAGTCAAACATTAATTACCTTTCCATATGCAGTAGCTCCGGCCATGAGATGAGTGAAGTTGAACTTATTTTGTATTTCAACAATCAAAGGAGTCAAACTTTCTATAAAAAAAAAAAAAAAAAAAAAGAGATAAATAGAACTACAAAAAAAGAACCAAAAACAAAACAATCATCATTTTAATATTCTATGGCTAACATTGACTTAACTATAAAATAATGTTTTTCTTCTTATCCCCAAAATATTTCCAATACTATACACAGAATATGTCATACATTATAATCTAATGCTAATAATAATCCAGTAAATGGGATTTTCCTTTTAAATCAGTCTATTGGCTAGTAAAAATTACAACTTAAAAAGCAATAAATATATTTTCATTAAATTTTACATACAAACTTGTAAAATATTAAATGAACAATGGATTTCTTTGACCATTTAAAATAATAACAACCTTGTGGAGTTCTGAGACTAGTTACTATTCCAGTTGTTGTTTTAGACTACCAATCTTATTCCTTTTTGATGTCACAAGAACAAAATTACCAAGTGCAGTTAATAGATAACTAAAACAGAAATGTTAATTTTTTTTGTGTGTGTGTGTGTGTGTATATATATATATATATATATATATATATATTATTTTTGTAGGGTTACAAAATTTATTAAAACAATAAAAATGGACAGGTTAAGACAAGAACAAAAACTAATGGCAAAAAAGAGAGATGACAAAAAATAACATTACTGGAAAGTGGTATTATTGAAAGACATGATTAACAAAAAATTGTACTTTATTTCAATATTACCACTTTTCAGTAATGTTACTTTTTGTTATCTCTCTTTTCTTGTTATCAATTTTTATTTTTTATTACTTTAATTTACAAGGTGAGGCAAAAGTCATGCACCATAGGGGTTAATGGATAGGTCAAAGAGATCCTGTTGTGTGGCCACCAAGGTCAACCAGACATCACACCATTGGAATTTTTTTCTGTGGAGCCATTGGAAATCAGTTATCAGATGCACACAAGAAATATTGAAGAACTTAAAGAAAGAATTAAATATGAATGCAATAAAATAAGAGGAAACTCTCTGACGTGTTAATGAATCATTCAGGCACAGAATTGAAATGTTTTGTAAAAGGTGGACATTTTGAACAGCATATATAACAATTAAATAACTAGTAAATAAAATTTTCATGTGTAATTATACTTTTAATAAATTATACCTATGGTGCATGACTTTTGACTCTAAAAAGGCATTGCTAATGCATAAATCTATTTCAAAATCAATTCTTGATGAAATTACATCAAGCTTTCCTCATATATCCGATCCTGTTTTCTTTCAGTTGAACATTCAAAGAAATGTTATTCTTTATCTTCATTCAGTCAATGTCAGATAAATCTGCAAAAATTTAAATACAATGTCAATCACTATCTACTGTCCTCCTGATTATTTTCTTCACACTCATTAATAATGTTTCTGTTCCTAATTCTTCCACACCCACTTGTGTCTTAGGGGCTTTACTACCTTGCATGGGTTGATACCAAATAAAAAAAACATATTACTAATTTTATTATTACAAACATACACACTTAATGGCCACCATCATCAGCTATTAACCTCTATAACAAGTCATTTCAAATTTAGAGAATTTATATTCATCACAAATAAATAAAAGAAGCTAATCTAAAAATGACTTTTCATATACCTGGAATTATCTCCCTTAAAAAATCATTTGGAATGAGCAGTATTACATCCCTGCACTAATAAGTTGCAAATTGGACTAGAAATTGATTTATTCATCAAGTTTGTTCAACACTGTTAAAATGCGCTAACAAAATTTTTATTGTATTGTATGTGTTGTTTATGATGCTTTTATGCAAAAAAGTTAGTAGTATCACTTAAATTATTTATAAATAAGTAAAATTACTCTAGCATTTCATATACCTAGATTGATTCCAATGAAAAATAAATAGAACATTATGATATAAATTATCAGTGCAAGTTAAACATAAACCCTACTTTGGTAAGTTAGAAAATAGACTAGGAATTGCTTTACTCTTTAAGTTAGAGAATTTAAGCAGTATTGCCCTAATAAAAATCTTACTGTAATCTGTCATTTTTACTGCGCTACACTAACAAAGCCACAAACAGAAACTGGATTATTATAATATAGATCGGCGCTTCTTAAACTATGGGTCACAAAACTAAATGGGGTCACAAAGCGATATCCTGGGGTGGCAAAAATTAAATTCAAGCACTTGAATTTCAATTTATATGTTATTTAAAAAATGCATGATATTTAACATGATGCACCACACAAGCGCTGTAGTAATAAAACATGCATGCATCACCATTGCAATTAATGCAGTGACAACGTATGCCTTTTCAGTGTAGTTGATTAATACCCAGGGTCATGAAAAACTTTGTGATGAAAAATGGGGTCATGAATGAAAGAGTTTAAGAAGCGCTGATATAGATGATTGTTCAATTTACAACCATGAGTATGGGTCATCTAGCATAAACATACATCATATCTTTCACTAGAAAGAAAATTTATTAGAAACTCAATTACTTTCATGATCTAATGTTAACAAAGTTTTATTTGCATGTTCAAGGACTCCAATAATCATATAAAACCAACTATTGTATGGAAAATAGAAATCATTACTTTATTATACAGCTCATTTGTAATTGAATTAAAGACTGATCATAAGAATTACAGAATTGTTGATTTAATGTGTGTATAATTTTTATGTTTTGCTAGTTAAACTGGATTAGAAATGGTCGGTTGATGATAATCAATATCATTTTATTTTTCCTCGTCACACCAGTTTAGTCACAGAAATACAATTATTTCAGTGCAACTTTTAAATGCAAGTACACCTATAAACACATTGTATCTTAACATATTCTATTGTTAAGAATATAAACCCTTGGACCACTATTGACTGTTAAACACAGAAAAAATTTAACCAAATTCTTCATAGATGGGTTGTCAAGCAAAATTAGCAACTTGATTCAAGTATAAATTTTAAAAATGTCAACTTTAATATTCAAAAAATTATAAATATTAATTTATTCATGTACATATTGAAGTTGCTATGAAAATAATTTTTATTAAAATGTATATTACTTTATCTTAATAAAAGGAACTGTTTAAACTTCATCTAGATTTCAAGTAAAGCTCAACTGAATGAATCCTAGTAAGAGGACAGCCTGACCAGCTTAATAAAAAAACAGTGAGAATGTTTTAGTTTAACCTAAGGTCAAAGCAGTGTGCTGAAGGAACCAAAGTGGACCTTTCTTATGCATTTTTATTTTGTTTTGTTTAATTTCCTTTATTGATTAGTGAAAGACAGAAATGCAAAAGAAGCCTGTATTTGATGTATGAGTGCCAAATGCAAACTGACATTAATGACTCTCTCCTCAAATAACCTATGCTTTTCTCAACAGCAATTTAAACAACTGCCATAAGATTTCAGAACTTGTGGCCAATTTGAATGCTATACCAACAAGAAAAAGTACCATCATTCACAGTTCTTTGTGTATTATTTATCAACTCATTTTTTTATGAGCCAAAAATATATTTCTTGCCAATTTAAACAAAAAAATATTTACTCAGCAGAGGCATGTTTTTTAGAATCATTCATATCTGTTGGATTTTTTTTTTTTTTGCATGTCAAAAGTAAATAAAATGATGAAACCTGTTTATATCTGTCACCTTGCCAATACAAAACCTTTTTCTTTACCTTATAGCTGTGATCACAAAGTATTCTTTCAAGTTTGATCAAAGACAATTTCAACTCAAGTTTTAAGGAATCAAAAATCTGAGTTAAAACTGAAAATAGCGTTTTCTAGTACAATATGGCAACCGTGAACCAACTGAATAATGAACATTGTTTTCTGAATTGATTGATTGATCAATTCGTTTTCTACAACTTATCAACTATTTGCAGGTTATCTAAAGCCAGAAAATATTTTTAGATTGTAAGAATTTTTTGAGAGATAATGATTTAGTAATACAATTCTTACTAATTAACCCATAGCTGGAGGAGAAGAGGTGGATTCATACATTTTCCAAAGGTATTTGCACATAAGTGAATGTAACAAACCCAAGTGGAATTAGAACTTGCCTCTCCAATTAACAATTCCAAGCCATTATCCATTACACCACCCACACATCCAAGCTTAGAGCACCTGGCATTCCCAAGTGGTCACACCTCTAGACACTGACCAGGCTCAAAATTGCAAAACTATAGTGATCATACAGGAACTGGTGTTTGAACACTATTTGGACATAAGCCCATATTTTTTTTATGAAGAAAATTAAATTTACCTAACACAGACTATATATGCATATAAGTAGCTAAGAGTGTCCTCAATGTTGACTCGGTTTCCATGTTGTATTTTTTAATGACATAAGCAGTGTATTTATTTTTGTATGGAAAATAATATTTTTTTTTAATAAAAACATAACCATAGACAAACATTATTTTTTTCAAGCATATCACCCCAAGCAAGGTGGGAGTACCAGTAGCACACAAGGAGTTACAGAGAGTGAAAGTAAGAGTAAAGAGGGGTGTCTGGGGAAAGGATAAAGAGAATGACAGGAATCAAGGTCAAGGCATCAGAAGATGTTGATTGACATTACATTTGAATATTTGAAGATTACAGCTATCAGGGAAGGAAGTAAGAGTAAGGGAGTTCCACTGTCAGGAAGTGCGAGAGAAGAAGCTGTTGGAATAAAAGAGGCAGTTAGATTTAACCGTTTCTACAGTGAAAGGGTGGGACTGAGATGCCAACCTAGTAGCACACTTAAATACTGGGGCAACAGTAAAAATAGCTTATCAGAGCAGTTGCCATAAAAATATTTGTAGAAAAAATGGAGGGAAGCCACATCACATCTGTGAGAAAGTGACTGGAGTCAAGATGCCAGGTCAGGACCTATTACATTGTATATCTATCTTTGGGTTTTGTCGAGAACCTTAAGATAAAAAGCAGGGGCACCAGACCATATATGGCAACAGTATTCAATGCAAGGATGAATGGTAGATTTGAAGGATGAACTCAGATGAGAAAAGAGTGAGAAAATCAATTAAGATAG